AGTGTTATATTATATTAGGATATGTAGTAATATTGATAAAGTAATGTTAAATGACCAGTTGCTACAGAAATATCAAATTGATAATGCGTAATGAAAATATTTTATTATAAAAGTGGCACGAACACCACAAAACAATGGCAGATAAGTACTGGTAATGATAAGAAATGGTAAAATTAGTTATAACGATTAATAAAAATGATTATAATAATGAAGATAATAATCATGGCAATGAAAATAATGGTAATGATTAAATTTTTTTTATGAAATCTGTATATCTATTTCTTTATTAATGGAATGTCGCTATAACTGCTTTTTTTTATATAAAATCGTTTACTTTTGATCAAACGCTTTGATTTACATATCCATTGTTCTAGACAAAAGGGGGACTGTTCAACCATGTTTTTATTTTCTTGAGAAAAGGAGTTAGGTTTATTTCCTCACTAATTGCATACGACGGAAATAATTGCGACCTTTGGTCTAGAGCGCTACAGGGAAATGATAGGGGACACATTTGTACGATAACTCTTAGGTAAAGAAAACTGAGCTGGAGCCGACTCAAAAACGTCAAGTGTCTGTGAAATATACATACTTTCCTTTCCATCAATTCACCGGTTAATACTTATAAAGTCAAAATTCAAGAAAATAGCTGTTACTGACGCACACGCTACACACCACATCCACACACCACGCACGCACGCACACACTATACACACGCATATATATACATATAAATGATATATATATATACATATATATATATATATAGTATATATATCTATATATATAGTATATATAATAGATATTAGTATATGTTGTGTGTGGTGTGTGTGTGTGTGTGAGTGTTGTGGGTGGTGTCTGTGTGTGTGTGTGTGTGTGTGTGTGTTTGTGTGTATACATACATATATATAGTATATATATATATAATATATATATATATATCTAGATATATATAATATATATGTGTATATATAGTATATATATATATATTCTATATATATATATAATATATATATCGATATATATAGATATGAACACTCGCGCACCACACACCTACACCAACATTATACATAATATTTACATATCTTGTGTGTCTGTGTATGTATATATGCATATATATATACATATATATACATACAGCATGTGTGTGTTGTGTGATGTGTGTGTGTGTTTGTGTGTGTGTGTGTGTGTGTGTGTGTGTGTGTGTGGTGGTTGTGTGTGTGGTGTGTGTATACAGACAGACGGTAGTAAAGAATAGATATCTATAAGTCAAATTCAAAGAAAAATTATGCTAGTAATACACACACACACACACATCACACACACACACACACACACCACACAACACGACCACACACGCACACACACACACACGCACACACAGTAACCACTGGAAACAAACTCAACAGACAGGCCTACGTCCCCGCAGCGGATTGATTCAGGCTGATAAATAACATATACATATAGCATATATACGATCTGTATATATATATGTATATGATAAGCATATATACATGCATACCGCACATACATACAATATATATAATGCAATATAGATAGAGAGACAGATAGAGAGATTAATAATATAAATATGACATATTGACATATGTGTGTGTCTGTGTACGTATGTGTTTTGCGTGTGGTGTGTTGTGTGTGTGGGTGTGGTGTGTGTGTGTGTGTGTGTGTGTGTGTGTGTGTGTGTGTGTGTTGTGTGTGTGTGCGTGTGCGTGGGGTGCGCACATATATGGATATGTATATATATATGCCTAGTGGAGAGATATAGATAGATATATGTATACGTGAAATGTTGATAGATCCTCGTTACCGGTCTCAGCTCGGATATGTTAAAACTACAAAGAAACTGAGATCGCCTTCTGTCACACGGGTCATGACCGCCGACACCCGCTTTCTCGTCTCGTCTCTGCATATACGGACAAGTTTCACGACGTCAGACTCCTCCTGGCTATCGCATGGTACCTTTGCTGTTGTCTTTCATTTGTGTGTGAACTGAAACCTTTTTTCATTGTTATTTGTGTTTTTCATGTTTTTTTCATGGTTTTAGTTTATCTATATTTTTTCGTTGATGTAATATATATATGATATATATGATATCTATATATATAGCTATATATAGTATATATATATATATATTATATATATATATTTAATATATGCATATTGATGTGAGGGTGCGAAGCTATCAAACAAATGTGTCATATTAATAATTATCTCTATGAGAGATTTTACGCAGTCATTGAGAAGAAAAGAAAAAGCAAGTAGAAGAATAAGAAAAAAAATGTGTTTGATACAGACCTAACAAACAAGAGATAGACCCATCCACTAAGCGAAATTAAATACATATTCGACACAGACGTACAACGAGTCTCTATTTTCCAGGGCGGCCGCGCATGAGCCAGTATTGCGTGACTGGAAGTATGGTCAATGGGATTCTTCCATTCCCTCAGTTCCTCAGGCTTGTGCTTGCTGAGAAGTGAGTGTTGAGACTTCTTTCTAACGTGGTCCTGTCTCTTTTTTTCCCAGTTCATACGTAGGCATTTTTTGTTTATCCTTGAATATCTATAGACACTAGATAAATACGTATAATAAATCGATAACACAGGATAGAGTAGATAAATTAATAAACGTAGTAATAGGGACAAGAGATAATCAAGAGAGAAAGAGAGAGAAGACTGAGAGAGAGAGAGAGAGAGAAGAGAAAGAGAGAGAGAGAAGAGAGAGAGAGAGAGAGAGAGTAGAGAGAGAAGAGAGTAGATGGAGGAGAGATGGAGAGAGAGAGAGAGAGAGAAGAGAGAGAGGAGAGAGAGAGAGACGAGAGAAGAGAGAGAGAGCAAGAGAGAGAGAGAGAGTAATGGAGAGAGAGAAGAGATTATGAGAGAGAATGAGAGATAGAGAGAGAGACAGAATCTTGATTACTATTCCTTTTCTTAATAAAAAAAAAAAAATTCTAATGTTTTTCTGTCATGATCATAGAGGTATATGAACTGTGTGACGTTATTCAAATTAGATTGATAGCTCTAATCAATGCTGTATTATATGATCGGTTAAAGGGTAATGCGTTAATGTACTGAAAATAAATATAATAACATAAAATATATTTTTTGGGATAAACGCTAGGCATTACTGTAATTTGCTTCATTTTTTATAAGGTCCACAATTTAGTGTTTGATTTCTGCGTATATAATGCATACACCCGCCAGCCATGACATACCCTCACACACACACACACACACACCACACACATCACACAC